CTGTGGCCAGATCCAAAGACCAGCTCTGCTGTGCCAAAACCCACAGCAGCCACACTATCCTCCTCAGCTACTTACCCACTCACTGTTCTGGAAACTGGGAACAGCTATCCCATTATGCAAAACCCTACAAAAATCAGTTAACCCTGGCAACATAAATCACACAGTTTGGAGTATATTTCTCCTCAGGTGAGAAAAGGGCTAGACGGGCCAAACTGGGTATGAGTTCACTTTACACCATCGTTCTGTAGTGAAAAAAGGAGGAAGGAGATATAAAGCAGGGGCATAGCAGGACTGAAACTCAGAAAGGCTGAAAAAAGCCAGCCTTGACGTTCAAAAAACCCACTTCTCAAATGATATTTTCTTCAGACTAGACTTTGAGAAAGTCCAGTGGAGACTGACATTCAAACTCCTTGTATTTGCTGCCTGTAGCTTGCTTAGTGAAATATTCAATATCTGCCCCTTTATATACTGTCCTTCTGAGGGATTGAACACGGTCACTAATTACAAACTGAGAAAGGACAGGAAAGAAAGAAACTCAAGGCAGATCTTGAAAAGAAAAAAAAAAAAAAAAAAAAAAACACCACCCTTCAATTATCCATTAAAATATTGTGGTTGATAACAGCAAGACTATGTTGGTGTGAGCCAGATAAAGAGCCAGAGAAAGAAGCCTTGAAAAAAACCACAAAAATACTTCTGTAGCTAAGTCATTATAGAGTAGAAAGGGTTAGCAAGCAATACTAAAGTCACTCTAATCTGCTGTTTGGAGGAGTAAGCACCTTATACTCTCAGATCTTTGTAGGCACAAGCAGAAATGGCACATATAAACTTTTGCTACTTTCCTTCTTGTCTTAGGATGGTTAAAAATTTTAGTCATTAATTACACTTACTACAGTGCTGGTTTTGTCACAGCTGATGTATCTACTGACAGCCTAAGGAAATCAGACATATGTGCTAACATGCAAAAAAAAAAAATAACTGAGTGCCACAGAGGACCAGATATCCCTGTTGTCAAGGTCAATGAAGCCTGTGAGCATCCTAGGGGTGAGACATTCAAAACTCCAGGGATCAAGATTAAAGATGATATTAGCAGAAGCAGCAGAGCATCTTGTTCTTCAGCAAGAGGTTTAATGCTTAAAATGCTGACCTAGCAACTGATGCACAGCCCAAAAGCATCAGGTAAGACAGAACTAAAAGGTAAAGTGATAGGCAGGTAATGGACAGTATAGTAAACCAAGGAAATTAGAAATTATATTTCCCTTGCAATCATTTAACTACTCAAAGATATCTAGGGGTCCTAACTCCTAGTTCTCAAATTCTTGGTTAATTAATTTTTTCCCATTCTAAAAGCTTCATTTTAATTAGCTCCCAAGTTGAGCTGCTATGAAGAGGTTTTATTTTCATTGTCTTTTTTCTATATGTAAAAAAAAAATTACTTCAAAAATATGCACTCATTAAAAATAATTAGTGATTTTTGATACTGCTAAAATAGGTAAGTGACACAGGAAAAATAAGTTGTTGGGGTTTTGTCATAATTTAGTTGCTTAGTATCGCAACCAAAAAAAAAAAAAAAGAGACATATATTTAAATATCAGAAACCATCCAAGTAGATTAAGTCTTGAAGTCACGAGTGATTAAAGACAAACTCAAATTCTTTAGTCAGACAATGGATAGGTGCTTACAATGGCTGCCACAAAACACTTTTCATAGTTGCCTTCATTACAGCTTTGAATTTTGCATTCCATAAACTACAGCACAAAGAGCCATGCGCAACACAGTTGATACCATAGCAAAATGTGAAAATAGCATAACTGTCAATTCATTCCTCACATTTGCATAGCTGGTTTAGCCTCCAATTAGGATGTTCAGAGTTATAAGTACGTACAGAAGTAAACTTTTATATCAATTTGTGTCTGTAACAAATGCATCTGTTGACAAGATAGCAATTACCATGGATTAAAAATGAAGTCCATGAAATGTTATGTTACATACTTGAAGATTATGTAGCAGTTTGTTAAATTACTGATGCCTTTGATATAAGCCTTGCCTTGAAATATGAATGTTGTTACCAAAAATAGAAAATGAAACCAGGGAGACAGAAATTTCCATCTTTCATATCTCCTAACTAGAAAATTCTATTTTATTATTATTTTAACCAGGCAAAACACAAGAAGTATTTTTCTAAACTGGATCAAACCTTTTGCTCATTAAGAAATACCACAGTCTTTAGTGAATTGAAGTGTATCTCACGTAAGGTAATTCATCAACCCAAATACAGGTTTAATCAAATACAGGTTCAACTTAAAATTTACCAATGCCAGTGACATCAACGAATACAATGCCTTTGATTCTGGAGTTCAATGACACTGTTCTAATTAACACAAATACATGCTTTAGTTATTTCTCTGTAATTCTCAGCTTTGTTGCTGTTTTCTAAAGAGAAGCATGATAGAACATCCCCATCAAAATATTCAGGTTATCACTTGATTCAATTCTACTTAAAGTCTACAGTTTTGCAACCAATTTACATTTAGCATTCATTTCTCATGCATGAGTTGACCCACTTACACATGCAGTAAATCCATGCCTTTGGGGATTTTTCTGGATGGCTTGCTTTATTTCCACCACACAACTCATTTTATTTTGTCAATACAGTGAGCAAGGTTACAGTCATCCTGTCAAATTTATTTATTTAAATTAGAATCAGAAAGACTACATTACCCCCTGTGGAACTTCACTGAAAATTTTTTGAAACTTTGAGGCTACATAACTTTTGTAATCAACTAATTTCAGATGAAAACAGTGACACAGAAAAAATAGGCCACAGTTACAGCAACTTCTTCTGTAAACTTATAAAAGACTTCAGAAATCCTAAAAAAATATAATCAACCACATTAATATATATCATATTTCACATGCTTAAAAAAACTAGACAAAAGAGATCTTTCTAAGCAAGCCTATAGAATAAAGTCAGATGGAATAAGATCATTTAAGAAGCAGCTATACAGGCATCACATCAGCTTGCTTTGACTACCAGAGATACACTTTACCTAAAATATTTCCCCTTGCATCTCTGAGGACAGTTTCAGCTTCACATTTGAGAGGTTTCTTTGAGGTTACTTACCATCCTCACAGTGGGGCTGCTAAAAGGGAGCCTTTCCCACACAGAAATTGTCCCAAAGTCACATGTTATTCAAGTCCAAATAGACTTGTGTCTGACAGACAAGCACTTCCATTTTATACAATTTGCTAATGTGGAGTTTCTCTCTCATGTTAGCAGCTCACCTGAACTTCAGTATACATTTGGGGTTAGTGTTTCAACGAACTTACCCCAAAGGCCTATCTGAATTCACACATCTCATGTTATTCTGGGCAGTATGGGATATAATAGCCATTATAAATCCTTATTTTTAATGCTAGCAGTTTTTCCAAAAGCAGTTGCCTCTCTTGGGCAGCGGTTTGTTTTCCAGCTTCTCAATGACAAAATGTTTCTGTGAAGAGTTATGCACCTTTCTACCTGTCTTACAAAGGAAGCAGCCTTATAACAACACCACTCTTTCTCCCACTCTGGACCAGGTAGTTGACCTTCAGCAGGTGAAGAATGTCACCTTTTTAGGGATATCTGTTTTACTACCCCCGTGGAATATGGTCTAATACAACAGTTACACACTGATGCAAACTGAACATCCACATGCTCAGCAGACCTTTTAGCATAGTTAAAGTTACCTAAATTATTCAGTTCCACGTGTACTGACAGATTCACACACAATGATTGTAATGACTATGTAAGATTCCAAAAAGTACCCTTCAACTTGGCATTTCGGGGTCTAAAAATAATGTTTCTTCCCACATGTTGGGAGCTATTCTCATGTGTACCACGAAGGATTTAGAAAGAGAGACCAAGAAAGTGAATCTGAAAAACTTATGGGGACAGAAAAAGAAGTCAGTGCCACCCCTGATGAATCATGAACACATTGTTCTGAATTCCCAGCAATCTTTTCCAGCTTCTCAACAAACAGCTGTAAAATTCCCTAGCAAAGGCTCTGCGTCCCTCTACCTCTAATGGAAGGCCCACACAGAAGATAATGGTTTACTCTAGGTGCTACTTACTGCATTAGCATAAGCACTTTAATCTCTGTGTTTTAGTTCTTCATCTAAATAAGGTCTGCATAAAAGGGGTTTCCAATACCTCTTCATTTCTTAGGCAACTCTGACAACAATGTAAATGAAAACCACTAAAGAAGTGAGAAAGAAGCTTTAGAAAAAAACTCCATGAAGAAGTTACAAGTTCCTTTTACAACATTTTATAGTGTGTGGAATATCATACCATACAGTAAATAAACAATAAATGAAAGAAAATATTAGAAAGCTGAACGTTTGGTGACTATTGTTCTACACAGGGATCACAGTAGGAAGAAGTAACAAAGCACCATGCCGTTAAATAACTTCAGACTTTTTTTATTGAAAGCGTAGGTAAAGAATTCATATACACAGGGATTAATTTAACACCGTCTTTTTCTAACTTTGCATAATGCTTTGATAATGATCAGTAAAGAAAGATCTTTTTCTTTTTTAATTAGAATACACACTGAGGTTTCAAATGCATTCTCAAAGGTTTCAATTTTTAGCACAAGTTCTATCTAAATTATTACTTACATTTCTTACATTCATCATTTCTTAAGCATGAGTTCAGTCATTTTCACAAAATCACAGAATGCCGAGTTGCAAAGGACCCACAAGGATCATTGAGTCCAACCCTTAGCGCTGCACAGGACCACTCCCAAGAGTCACACTACATGCCTGAGAGTATCGTCCAAATGCTTCTTGAACTCTGTCAGGATTGGTGCTGTGACCATTTCCCTGGGGAGCCTGTTCCAGTGCTCAACCACCCTCTGAGGGAAGAACCTTTTTCTAATACCCAACCTAAACCTCCCCTAACGCAACTTCAGGCCATTCCCTCAGGTTCTGTCCCTGGTCACCAAAGAGAGGAGATCAGTGCCTACCTCTCCTCCTCCTCTCACAAGGAAGTGGTACAATGCAATGAGATCTCTCCTCAGTCTCCTCCAGGCTGAACAGATGAAGTGACCTCAGACGCTCCTCATATGGCTTCCCTTTAATTTCTGAAAGCTTACAAAATATGAAAGCTATATAAAAATCTGCAAATACTACTCATGGTCATTGAAAAATAATGTGATTCTTTTGCTAAGTCATTTCTAAAGCATTTATTAGGACTCTACCTTTAAAGGCAGAAGGATTTCTGCTTACTGAAAATGGGAAGTCAAAAAAACTTCAATACAGAAATATTAGAAAGTCAAAGGACCTGGGGCTTCTCAGAATTTCCATTTCTAGGTATCCGTACAAAGCAAGCTTGGAAGATCAATCCACAAAAGGAACAAGGTTGGATGTGAATCTATGGATGTGTGTTCACTGCAAAGGAGAGCAGTAGGAGCTCCACCTTCTCGCACAGATGCCCTCATATTAACAATAGGAATTACATATTCAACCTCCTTGTTTCCAGCCAGAAAAAAATGCTGTTGAAGGCAACTGATAGATGCTTAATCACATGAGTTATATGCAGCATATTTGCAGTGCAGCTGTGTGGAATTAAGCCTACAGCATATCAAATAATGAATAGCTCTGAGTTGTAGTTCATGTTAAACTGTCAGAGGAATCAAGGGGAGCAGAAGGCAATCGGTACCATGGTGCATCCAGCCTAACCCATATGCCACGGACATGAAGCAATTCAGGCACTGGTCAGCAAGTGCTTTTCATCTATGTTAGTAGACACAATTGTCATACATGACTAAATGCTTATTTTTCAAGTGAAAAAACAACACCATAGAAGTCATGCTTAGGAATACAAGGACAGTCAAATAAAGAACGAATCACTTCAGAAGCAGTTAAAATCCCAGCGTTGCCCAGAACAGCATAAGCTCTTTTTGAATGCGATTTAACATGCTTACCCAGTCTCTTTGTTGATGGTTCGTTTGATGGGTGGTTGAAATGTAGACATTGATGTTGTTGTTATTTTTTCCTGTTCCCTATTCTTCTCCTTCTCTTCAATTCAATGGAGGAAAAAAAGCCATTGGAGACAAGTATCTGCAGGCTTTGCACTGCGAATCCTACAAATGAAGCCCTGGGCCATGTTAACATCTTCTCTTGCCAATTTTCTCTACAATCTGTTTTAGCAATTTAAGAGATCATTTTGTGTTTGAGCAAGTAAACAGGTTGAACAGCTCTGCCAATAGCTTCCAAATAGGGAGCCATGGCTCATTGTCTGTTAGGCACAGTTTCTAATTTCAGATGTGCAGATGTGCACAACTACAGTAGCAAATGTTTTGTGTTCTGCTTTAGTTGCTACTGAAGACATATTTTTATTACATTTGAGGTAGTATCCAATTCCTTATCATTTGTGCCTTTATCCAGATAACAGGTGTTTAGTTGATTGAAATTATGAGGGAAATCCTGCCCTCTGCTGCATCCCTGAAGCTGTATAATTTTAACTGGTGGTAGAATGTGACCCTTGATACTGAAAAGAAAAAAAAAAAACACCATGCACCATATTTCATTAAAGACATTGAAAGACAATTAATAAACAACTTTTCTCACTAAAATCCACATAAAACACTTTCAAAAATGCTTCAAGATTTTCATGCTCTCTCTCTGCAGCCAGTATAGGCTTCACTAATTTCAGTGAGGAGTTTAAGTCCCTATACAAGGGGGAGACACTCTCTTACCCCATAGGGGGGTGATTCAGTGACCTTCCCTTGACTAAACTCTACTGTCCTTCCAAACTTCTTCACCAAAATAGAGTATCTTGGAAACGTGCTTTTTAAAGCAGATTTAATCTGTTTTCTTATTTTCCTTCTTTGCATTATCATACAGTTTTCATTTCATATACAATCCAAACCTACTGGAAAAATGAGTCACATATAAATAAATGAATTGTATTACTTCATTTTGCTAGTTCTCAAAGGCAAGAAGGGCACAGATGTGCCGGGCTTCTTGCTCCTACATGGCTTAATTTCATAACAGCATTAATATGGAAGTGAGAAATGCCTTTACATGGGCTCTCAAAGCAACCAGGGCAACCACTGTGAAAGCTTCCATGCATCCTTTGAGCCATACAACCAAGGCAGCAACCTCTACTATCCAAGCACTGGCCTTATCTTAATGAAAGCTTCTCACTCCAATTTGTAAGGACACCTGTTTTCTTTTATACTTTGCAGACATTTACCAGGAACAGATTTAAGAAAGAGCAGCTTATTTCACATAGGATAAAACATGCTTCAACTCATATAGCTAGACATAAAAGTGCAGTGGCAGTAAGCTGCAGCTCATTGCTGCAAACCACTGAAAGTGTTCCATTTCCCGAAAGAAAATATTATTTTATTGAGTTCCTACTTCCTCATTTAGCCAGTGTCATGACAAATCAATAATGTTTTGCCATCATCTTTAATTATTCTGTTCTTTTTGCCACCTTAATTTTTTCCTTGCAAAACCAGAGTGCAGTTAGCTTATTTGCAAATCACCTATAAAAATACATGGTATGTTTTTCATTTTGAGAATATTCACATTCATATTGAAAATCCTCTCAAAGTTCAAGACAAACAAAAACCACTGCAAGGTCCTTTAACAAAATTTACATATTTCTCTGTGTGAACAGTATACGTTTTTTTAATGACTACATATTCAATGCTAAAAGCATGTTGTACATCAGCAGAACTGGGCTTTTAATGACAAAAAAAAACATGAGATACTGGTACACATTTTATTCTTTTCTACAAAACTGCATTCTGGTCCTAATACTTCCATTGTGACATAAAATTAATTCCATAACTTCGGTCTAAGTCTTCAGAAGCAGGGTTGCTGGTGGCAAAATAGCAACCGAAATCCAACACCCTCTGCCAACCTTCCACTCCTCCTACGATTTTTTTTCCTCACAAGGTTTATATTCATAGCATAAGATATTCTTTAAAAAGTCAGAGAGCACTGTGCTAATATTAATGTATGATGTCAAACAAAAAAGACAATATTTTAAAAGTATTTATGCTAATTAACATCTATTACCATTAGTTTTATTTTTTTATTTATCTTTATCAAGAATATCTACACATTTAACTGTGCTCACTTACCCCTTCAATGAAGTTGTTACAATTTTGGTTCAAATAGGCTCTTTGAGAAGTATCTAATACTTCAAGGTGAAATCAAAACAAAACTGAAAATTGAATAGATATGTTAGTATTCTTCCATTTTTCTATATATGAAAAGTAAAATTAATCTAAAATTATTAAAGTGCTTACCTTTCAGTGTCTTGAAACCTTAATTAGATCCTTAGTCGATGACATATACTGCTTATCTGATAAATACAGAAACTACTCTGTGTGGAATGCATTTCTATAATACAGCAGTTTTCTAATTAGATTCAAGTTGTGGCCTATGCAGAATTATTTTTCTAGGATATAATGCTATAAATGAATTTATTATTTAAGCATAAGCAGAAATGAAATGCAACTTCTTTTATCATGCACATTTTAAAATTCCATTTTACACATCAAGATTAATTCTTTATAATAGATTTCCTTACTTGGAATCTGTCAGCTGCATACATAGAGAAAAGAAAACAACTCTGTATTGTTAAGATTGGATAGAACAAATCTAGATTGTTAAGACTGGGTGGTTAAAAATGAAGAGACAGGAGTGGTACATGCAATCACCAAGGAAAAAACTGAAATAAAACCATTTTTCACATTTAAAAAAGCTATTTCTGAGACTGAAAAGTCAGATAGGTATCTTTGGTTCAGGAACCAGACAGTATCCTAAGTTGTGCTAGAAGAGAAACCCCCTCAATCCATTGAAACATAGAGATAGGAAAAAAGCTCTTTCCCATGTCACAAAACTACTTGTTTGTTTTTATCATCTCCTTTTCCCACAACAGAAAACCCAATACTCTTTCAACAAGAGAGAGATAAAGAGCATGCAAGTGAGTTGTGTCATACTGTTCTGTAGTCTGATGTTGAGGGTACTGGGCTTGGGATATCTAATTAAATTTCTTGGCATGCCAGTATCCAAAACTGAGCACCACAGGCCTGCTGCAGGGTACTCGTCTCAACCTCTCCCAACAGAGCAGACCCGTGTGAGGGATTAAGTATTCATCAGAGCATTGCTCGTTTCATCTCCTTGATGCATTCCAGAGCTACCCCATGCAAAAGAATCACTCTTGCTTTAGAAAGCTATATAGGTCACGAGAGGACCTCATTTAAGTTCCTGGTCTGAATAAAAAATACAGCTGATTAAAACCAGGGACTTGTTGAAGTTTCCCAGATCCCAAATGGAAGTCTTAATGGCCATGCTTTTTGCCACTCTGAAGAATACATCTTCCCCTCTCACAAACCAGTAATTTCAGTTAACTCGGTGTGAACATAAGATGAGCTTTTGTTCTCATCTTATCTATGCACAGGAGCATTTGCACATCTCTTAAACTTACAGTCCTCTCCGTTGGCCAATGCTCCAGGAAATAAGCCCAAATTTTTCACCTCTAAGAGCAGCTGTGGACATCAAAATCTTAACTAGTCAATGCTTTGGCAAGAATGGTACATCTCCCTTCCTGTGAAAAACTAGTATAGTTCATTGATATTTTTTTTCCCAATAATATATCAACCTGAAAAAAGTTTTTTCTTTCAAGTAAATAATTTCCATCATTTTCTTCTGATTATACTTACACTGGGTGTTTCTGATGCCATGCTGTTATTTTATTACCACAGAGAACAATTCAAAAACATTTTCCCAAAATAATCCATGGAGACAAGTTCTTGTAGCAGAAGAATGATCAGAAGGAAAACCAAGACAAGATAATTGTATTGATTCTGTATCACTTCTAGCTCACATTAGTTCTTACCTATTTTATATATATCATAACTTGCACTACATATCACCCAATATCCCTTCATGCAGTGAGTTAAACATGTTATGAAGGAATACAACGCAAACAAATAACTTTCCTAGTGAAAGTTAGTCAATAAGTCAGTAAAAAAATAATTAAAAAAAAAATAGTAAGTCAGAAAAGGTCCCATTTTTAAAAATCTGATTCCTGTAAGCTAATGAAACACATTAAGTTTTGCTATTTGTCATTTCTTTCTCATCTTGCAGAACACTGTCTTGCATGTATTTTCTTTTAAAACTCAGCATCAAAATTTTATCTGCTTTTAGAAAACTCCATCTTGCCAGTTATGCTATTTTTTTCAGTTTTACAGCCCCTGTTAAAAAAGAGACAAAACTGTATAACTTACATAATTTATATAGTTTATATGTAAATTAAAAGTTACAAAAGTATTCTTACTCGCTATCAAATCTATCAGAAAAGGAAAAAGTGTCAAATCATTTTAATAAAGAAAATACTTTGAGCATACTCGCTGAAAGCTGGAGAGGTGAACACACGTTTCCAATGTGCTGTACAAGTCCATGGTATACAGTTACACACACTTCAAAATCAGACATACACAAATTTATCACCAAAATCATATTCTGCACTCACACAGACTTCATCAGAAGCACCAACAAACATACTTAAACACACTAGTTCTCCATCTACAATCACTTGAGGTAGCAGTCACATACATTACTGATTTGTTCCTGTGTCCTTTTCAGTCTTTGTAACTCAGGCGTATCAGTCACAATACTGAACCCTCTTCCTTTGCTTTCTTCAAAGTCTCTTTTGTATTTTACCTACAGAATAGAAAATACAGAAGAACAGGGTTGTTTTCATTTTCCATAATTTGCCGCTAGCAATCTAGCAATTCCTTTTTACTGTAAATAAAGGACTTGTAAAAGGCTTTCAGCTTTTAAAGGAGAAGCCTGATTTCATCCACTAACAGAGATAGGCAGCAAGTGGACAAAACTTCCCAGTGCCTGAGCAACTGCCTCCTCTGGGGGTGCCACGGGCTCACCTCCACGCATACTGCAGCTGTGGAAAGACCAGTCTGTGGTCATTTCATTCTCAGAGCAGTTACCACAGAACTATAGACGCCCGTACAGCATCAAGCAAGCACCTATACTCGCACAAAAAAATAGCTATAACTAAATTTGGAGGTCTTCTAATACACAGCTTCCCATTTCACTCTCTCTTCATGATTATTCTACCAGTCTCTTTCCCTGTTGAAACATAAATTACACATTAAAAAATACTGCATGAAAAGAGTATTCAGAATATCATGAAGTCAAACACTGGTAAGTTAGGGAATGGCTGCCTGTATAAGCTTAATTTTTCCCTCTTGCACATATGCATTCAGATATTGTCTTTGATCAGGTACTCATCCTTTGACATAACCTTTGACAAGGCCCCCTGCTTTATTCTCTACACAGCAGAGATGATTCCATATGCAGTTGTATCTTTTTTTCGGACCAGACTATACAAATCCTACCATCAAGGCAGGAATATTAGTTTTATCAGGATCTTTTATACAGCTCTCATCACATTAATCAATCTTCATAATGCACCCTGGAAAGTGGGAATGGCAATATCCACGCTTCTAGGGCAACGTGCAAACTGAGGTGAAATGAGCTTAATTTCCAAAAACACATAGGGGTCTCAGGGTGTTCACTCTCAGATTCCTAACAGTTGAATATGTTCAAATTATGGACTTTGACTTACAAATACCCAGTACTTCTGCAAAATCAGTCTTGGGGATCTCAGTTTCAACATAAAGAAACAAGATATATTAAGTCACTGTTGAGCAACAGACAAACTCTGCAGAGTCAGGACCCATCTCTCCCCGGATGGATTCATCTACCTTACCCATATAAACTTCCTTTTACTTCCTATGTCTCCTGCTTTATTCACTACACACATCCAGATTTTGCAGCACCTGGGAGAGCACTAGTACAAAGCAGGATTCTCCTTCACAAAACTGATAACCAGAAAACATTCACCACATGTACCAAGTTCAGGGTTGGCTTAGGTTTATTTTACAAGCAAGTACCTAATGTTATGACGGTCATGCACAGGAAGAAATACCTCTAGATCATGAATGTTAAGTTTCAGAAGGCTATAGAATAGAGTTTGTCCTCCCCATCCTAAATCTCAATGAGGACGTTAATAACTTTTGCTTTCTCTTTAAATGGCATTCTAGCATATATCATTGTATGTAGCTCACACGTAAGTCCATCACACAAATCCTTGAGACACTGCAGTATGTGACCTGATCAATGAACCATTTTTCCTATGTTCCACATTTAGAGGTAGTTGTACATTTCACAATAAAATAAATTTCACAATTTCACAAAGTATAATCTTTTCACACTACCCTAAGGCAAAGGAAGCAGCACTGCCACTGGGGCTTTTGAGAAAACCATGGGTTGGTTGGCCCATGCCTTTCTGTTCATCTCCCCCAGGTTCAACTCCTCTGTACCTTTCCTTCCATTTGACCACTGTATTCAGGTAATCACTTTGTCTCCTAAATTTCTAAACTACACTAGTCCGTCTCTCCTTGGCTTCTTGCCAAATCCCTTTATCCAAGGTGCTCCAATTTTCATTGCCTATTATCTCCCTTCTACCAAATGACTCTCCATCTTCCCACTGACCCTCAGAGGATTCCTTAAACATATTATTCCAGGACTGCTGCTAAGAAAGAGGTCTTGGAAGTATCTGTAAACTTTCTTTATTTGAAGTCATACAAAACTTTATCAAAATTGGACAGACTTCCATGGCCAAGGACACGTACCTAACAAAAAAGACTTCCATTTCAGCAAGCTTCAGCTCCTCAGCCCTAAATGCCAAGAAAACTGAACTGTTAAACAACTTAATAATAATAAAAAAAAAATTAACCCCACTTGTTAATAATTCCAAGGGAACAAAAGTTTATCCTAGTCTCAGCCTTGGGAACTGCTAAGTATTTTGCATAAAAATTCCACATTTGACCCGAAGCAGGCAGCTGACATGGAAATGCTCAGTCTTACTGTTTAAAGTTTACCAGAATTATGAGCAAGTGAACACATCTTACAATGAGAAATGGGCTTAGCCCTGCCTACAAGAGAGATTACCTATTCTTAGAAAGAGCATTTCCTGCTATTAATTCCAAATGTTCTATCCATTAACTTCAAATGACCTTTATTCATCTTACAGAGGAACAGAAGAAGAAGAAAGGGAGGGAACTAGATAGTTTTAACTTAATATTATTTTAATCCTTCAGTCAGATAAAAAGGGCTTCTACTCTCTATTAATAAATCACTTGACAAGAGTAAGGTTAACTATAGTTCTCAGAGCAGCTACTCTGAAACAATAAAAAAATTATGTAAAACATTAGTAGAGTTAATATATGCATTATTGGATTTTGCTATCTAACTTCAAAACGTAGTTTTGAGTTATAAAAATCACAAAGAAACATAATAAATCATGAAGACCACCACTCTTTGAAATGTAGCCCACTAAAACTGCTAATTAGCATAAGTTCAAAAGACAAAACACCTCAGTTTCCACAAAATGTGAAATAATAAAGACGTCATCAGTCATTTAGAACTTGGATCTAAACACAACTCTTATTTAAGTATCAAGAATTAACGTGAATGAGGAGGGGACAAAACAACTGCTGATTGACGCCCAATTTCAGATAATTTAAAAGTTCAAGTTTTGCTTGACCAGAAAACTTTTAGTAACAAAATCTGGGATTAAAATGCAAATTAATTGCTTTAAACAAATTTACAGTAGAAAAGAATATTCTGTACAGGAGCAGTAAAAATCACTATAACAATTGATTTAACCACATACTGGGTCTGTCTGGGATGGAGTTAAATTTCCTCATAGCAGCCCATATAGTGCTATGCTTTGAATTTGTATCTAGAGCAGTGCTTTGGCTATTGCTGAGCAGTGCTCACACAGAGTCATCCCTAACCTCACCCAAAGACCAGTAGGCTCGGTGTGGGTGAGGGACTGGGAGCTGACACAGCCAGGACAGCTGACTCAAACTGACCAAAGGGGTATTACATATCATAAAACACCATGCTCAACAGCAAAAGCAAAGGGGGAGAGCAGACTTCAGTGGTTAAGGCATTTGTACCAGGGCCCTACTTCCCAGGAAGTGGCTGGACATTGCCTGCTGATGGGAAGCAGAGAATAAATTTTGCTTTTGCTTTGCTTCTGAGGGCAGCCCTTGTATTTTTAAAAAAAAAAAAAAAAACAACCACAAGAAGGTTTTTATTGTATTTTCTCCCTCTGTCTTGCTGAGGAGAGGGAATAAGAGAGCAGCTTGGTGGGCATCTGGCAGCCAGCCAAGATCAACCCAAACGGGAACCCTTGAAATTTAGTTTTGAAATGGAAATGTCAATAACCCCTAATGACTGAATCATAAATGCAGTCATTTCCTACAAATACGATTTTCAGCAACTCCTCACCAAAATCCCAGCCAGTGGTTCATAATGCTTCCCTCTTGGCTCCAAAATTGAGTGCAGTCTCACAAATGCAGAGCACCCTCAGTGGTGACTACCCTGAAAAATTGATCCTTTGAGAGACAATGTGTGGCATAAACATTAGAAATAAAACTGTAATAAATCACCATAAATGAAAAAGTTTTAAGAGAAAATACTTCATGAGAAGTAATTCTGCACAAACCCACAGTGAAAGGAGTAAGTGATCCAACAGATCTTTAAAAAACCAAACTTCTCATATTTGTGACATCAGCAAGAGATGTCACATCTCATGACATCTCATTTAGAGACTCAAAGACAGGATTGTGTAAATCCATTCATGAGGTCAGCATGAAGAAGCCAGAAGGTCCATCTTACACTGAAGGACAGAGGGTCCATCTTACTCGGTACATAAAATATTACGCTGAGAAAATGCTGCTTATTTTTTTCACAGGTACACTTGGTACTTGGCAGCAAAGCCACCTATTAGCAAAACAAGATTAATTTTTCCTGGGAAAAATACTCTGAAAATATAAAGGGACCCTAAAAGATTGATTATACTCTTGGGGGTTTTGGCACCTACCCTTAGTCCAGACTGATTTGCAATACCAGAAGTACATATTAGTTGAACAAACAACACAGGAGTCCAAAACCACCAAACAAAAAAGCAGAGCAAGAATACAATATGGTGGATCCTCATACTCTTATCCATCCCATCCCTATCAGAAAGTTACTCAGCTACTACAAAGCAAACATTAAATCACCAAAAGCTAAGGCAGTGTTAAAGCTAGTTTCCTGTACAGTCCCTTCTCCACTTCCCTGTACAGACCAGGTAGTTGTGTAGTTAAATCTCCTTTCTTATTCTGACACACTGCATAGCCCCACAGATTGGCATCATCATGCCTCACATCCAGCAAGGAAGGAATAAGCACGGTAGAATGGGAGAATAGGATCCCTCACACCCACATTTGCCCAGAGAGGAATCTTCATAGACCTACTGTCTTTACCACACCCTGAATATTTATGAATTTGTTTCATTATGTTATGTTTGAGGCTTGCCCAAAGCCATCTGCTCCTTCTGTGCCCAGCACACACAACTACCTCCCAAAGGTCACCATCTGCTAATACACTGGTTTTCACAGACTGGCAAGAAATCCTCTCCCACAGTAAAGGTCCTAGAGGCACATCTTGGCAAAGATGCCTTTGTTTGGTTCTGCTTATTTCATAGAGCACATAGTCTGCTGATTTTGCCTTGATTTATCTTACTTCTTACAAAATTAATGGCAAGACATAGAAAAAACATACTCTGTAAGTTAAGTTTTTATGAA